TTGGTGTATATATATATATATATATATATATATATATATATATATATATATATATATATATATATATATATATATATATTATTTAATAGAGAGAGAGAGATGTTGACAAAGACACGTGTCGTTATCAGTAGCGATGTGGTACAACAAATGTTGTGATATGAGTATGAATGGCTGAGTATGGAGAGTAACAACTAACAAGAGACAAATTTTGCTTTCAACTCCACAGTGATGGTATCGTTTCTTCTACCGCAAAATAAAAACCACATTACAATAGTAAAACCATTACACTTTGATCTTATTCTCGTTTGGTTGTCATGATAAGATTACAAAGATAATATTTATTATTAGACTTTCAAATAAAAAAATATGCCTAGAAGTTGGACAAGTTATTTGGAATACCAAATAACGAATAAAATCCAATTATTTATTTCACCATCGTTAATCTACCCAACCAAACAAGGCTCTGACAAATTTTCAAAAAAATAGAAGAAAGAAAAGGAAATCGACAACGTTGACTTTCGAGGATCCCAAAAGATATTGAAAATCAAATTTAAAAATTGAGATGAAAAAAAAATTATACATATATTTTTAAAAGTTAAGAGAAAAATAAAATCAAAATCCGAATAATTCAAAAATTCCTCTCCAATTTTCGCCTATAATAAAGGGACAAAGGATAAAAAAGAAGTAGAACTTTGTCTCAATCTTAGGTTAGGTTCACATGGTTTATGCAAATGCATTCCCTGTAAAAGCAAACAATATTTATACATTTAAAAGCAGATAATTCCAGCATTTACCATAATAAGTGTCACTGCATATTTAAAAGGTTGTCCAAACTAATAAAAAAAAAAACAGAAGAAATTCATCTATGTCCTTAGATGTGTGCAAACAAGATCAACGAGCATAAAGTTAGCGAAAACGTCATATTACAACTTAAAAGGATCCAACACGAAACACGCAGAGCACACACTAACAAAGAAAACATCGACTTGCAAATCCTCACTATGGGTTTGGGTATTAACAACAGAGCCTTTAGTGTTCAAATAGAGAATATTACTTGGGACCCATAAAACTAAAATAATGAAATCTCCATAACATAACAAACTTCGCCTACTTTTAGACAAGAGGCGGATACTGCTTGGCTTGGCTCCGTACTCTCTTTTTGTATTCAACCGAATCCTGCATTCATTTCATAAACACGTAGATAACGCAGTTACCATATAACGCTTTTGACAGTAAATTTCTACCCACCATATCAAGAATCTGATGGGGCCCGCTTTTTTATTTATTTATTTATATATATACCTGGATAAAAAGATGGTATCCCTCAGTTTGTGCTGGATCGGAAGGATTTGGCTGATCCAACAAATCTTGAATGCCCACCAAAATCTGCTTCACTGTAATTGCTGGGCGCCACCCCTAAATTAAAAAAAAAAAAAAAAAAAGAGACGAATATATAAATAAATAAATATATAAATTACGAATAAGCAGTAAAATGAATGGGACTTACGCTATCTTCGTTGAGGATCGAGAGACAAACAGTTCCAGATGGGTAAACATTCGGGTGGAAAAAGCCCTGTGGGAATTTACACTTTGGAGGTTTGCTTGGATAGTCTTCACTGAATTGCATACTCAGTGGGTAACAACCACCTTCCCAATCAGTCTGCATTTATTTGCAACGCCGTTCAGAAATCAAACATAAGTAAAGATCGCCCGCCATTATTTGTAATAAATGTCACAAGAAAAGTAGAAAAGAGGAAGGAAAAAAAAGTCAGACTGATATCCTGTAAACGACAGGCAGTGGACAATTACGCAAACAAACACCCGAACTGATATAACTTGAAGATTTTTCTCAACAAACAAACGCTTTCGCGTTTATACAAATAAAAATAAATAGATCAGATATATAAAAAATTAGAAAAATATAAAAAAATAAATATCATGCTAGAACCGATATATTGGGCGTTAAATAGGCATTTTTTTTCATGCACTTGTGATCTCGTATCATGATACATTACATTTCATACACAATTAAACAAATAGACTAATACATAGGC